CGGGGGCAGCCCCTGGCCGCCGCCCTCCTGCCCACCACCTTCGTGCAGGGGCTGCCCGAAGAGCCCGGTCCCCAGCCCGGCGGGAAGGGTACGCACCCACCCACCCAGTCGGTCCCCGGGTGGTCCTGCGGGGCTTCGGCCGACTGGGCCGGTGCTTTGCATACCGCAGTGGCACAGGTCTAACGGCTTCGCTTGGAGGCTGCACAACGCAGCGAGAAAGGATCCCAGTGCTGCTGGTCCTGTCCCACTCCATCAGTAACACACCCCATACGTCGACAGAGGTAGAGGGTGGGGTGCTTTATCCCCCCCCCAAAGCAAGAACATGTTAAAGGGGGATCTGTGGTTTCCCCAATGAATGGCTTTTAAGGTGCCCGCTTCTCATCGTTGCTGTTGGCACGCACTTACAGAAGCGGGGGGCTGTTCGCTGGGGCTCGCTGACGCTACTGACCCCTTTGCTGGGCTCAACAAGAAATGCCCACATTGATCCCCTTTGTGCCCCTTTTGTAGAGGAGCTGCGGCAACGTGGCTTGCATGAGTGGCTGTCGTCGCTGTCTTTCGACAACCCTGATTGTCCTGACCTGCAGCTGACCATGGGGGCAGTAATTGTGGAAGAAATGAGGGTGGCTGTAGAAGCAGCCACCGGATTCAGGTGTTCAGCTGGGATTTCGCACAACAAGGTACGTGTGCAACATATCAGCCTGATTTCTTCTGAGTGGCAGAGTCAGAATGTCTTGTAGACACTCTCCTATGCAATCTTCCAAGTCTCCTGAGCTGAGGGAGGAATGCAGCCATGTGTGAGCACACCTTCAGGGAAATTATGAGACAACTGGGAAGGGGAGGAATTTCTTTCCCAGAGATGTGGCCTATGCAGTCAGCACTCAATTAATTTACTGCCTGGGTTCTGGGTGTACCCTAGAAGGAAAGAAAGGGTTTTTAGTTCCCCGAGGAGAGTTTTCTTCAGGGAAAAAATGAGAGCTTAAAGCAGGAAACGTCCACCCTGAGTTTTAGACAGCAGTGGCTGTAGCCAGGGAATGGTTTTTACTGACACAGCAACTTGGAGGAAGAAGAATACTGGTTTAGGGCACTGAGACGAGATGGGTTGTTTTTCTGGTCAATCAGTGTTTACCCCTGCTGGCCGCGCTTTGGGTGCTGCTCAGCCAGCTGCTGAGAGCGGTCGCCAGAGCACTTCGTGCATGACAGCAGCTGCAGAAACAAACGGACTTTGATGCTGCAGCTACAGAGGGTTTCCTGCTTAGTGAAATGGAGGGTGGTTTACTGAGAGCACCTAGCACTTGTTTCGGCCTTTGCAGAAACGGTTTGTATCTACAGAGGTGAGCTGTGGAGGCACTGTAGTGTGTTCTGCACGGCCACTTGTAGGCTATTGACCTGGTAATCTTTGCATTGTGCTTGGTTATATAGATATACAGTTCTTCAGGGATAGCACAATGCACCATAATTTCCTTGCTCCCTTTAAAACAAGCAACAAAAAAAAGAATGTTGGCATAGAAACTTAATGGAAGCTGGGAGAAGTTGCTAGGGATATCAGGAATGTTCTCTGTTATTCTAGGTTAAGCAGAGCAAAAAGGCAAGTTGAACATCCCTTCCACTGGAAATTTCTATACCAGTGATCTTCAGCTAGCTCATTTCTGCCTCACAGTCTGCTATAGTTTCAAGGTGAGCTGGTGCAGAACTAGCTCTAGTACCTGTGTGCAGCTGGTAATCGTTCCAGTTGTTTCTGCAGCAGTCTAGATGAAATGTATCTCCCTTAAGATCCAAAGAATCCATTTTGTCTTTATCCTTTTCTCATTTTGGTCATAGCCTGCATTTTTAAAGTCGTAACTGTACAGATAAGCGCCCTTTGCAAAGGCTGAAACAAGTGCTAGGTGCTCTCAGTAAACCACCCTCCATTTCACTCAGCAAGAAACCCTCTATAGCTGCAGCATCAAAGTCCAGTTGTTTCTGCAACTGCTGTCATGCACAAAGTGGCTGCTCTCAGCAGCTGGCTGAGCATCACCCAAAGCACAGCCAGCAGGGGTAAAGATTGATTGACCAGAAAGAGGAAAAGCAACCCGACTCACCTCAGTGCCCCAAACCAGTATTCTTCCTCCAAGTTGCTGTGTCAGTAAAAACTATTCCCTGGCTACAGCCACTGCTGTCTAAAACTCAAGGTGGATGTTTCCTGCTTTAAGCTCAGAGTTTTTCAAAAGAAAACTCTCCTGAGGCGCTTTTCTTCCTACTGAGCTAACTTGTTAGAATGCACCAGGAACACAGCCGATAAATGAGACTGAATAATTGAATGAGCTATTTGGAAGCACCCGGAGGATAACAGTATGGTTTTATCACGAACCACTTGTGCCTAACTCGTTTATGTGCCGCCTCTGACAGCATAAGTGGCCTAATATACAGGGGAAACTGCAAATGTGAGGTGTTGACTTTAAGGTTTCTAATGCAGCTCACCCTGAGTCGCATAAGCTGATGAAGACACCCTAGCAAAACACAACATGGCTGAGGTTATCTGAAGGGCGTGCATCTAGCTGAAGAAAATATGTTGTTTTCCATAATGATTTTGTTCAATGAGTTGCACTCAAATTGGGATGTTTAGCGTGAGATCCTGGGGATATCTGTCTGAGGTCTACTAAAAGCCAATATTGGGGGTGTTGGCTGATGAGAAGCTCAACATGAGCCGGCAATGTGTGCTCACAGCCCAGAGAGCCAACTGTATCATGGGCTGCATCAAAAGCAGCGTGGCCAGCGGGTTGAGGGAGGTGATTCTGCCCCTCTACGCCGTTCTCGTGAGACCCCACCTGGAGTACTGCATCCAGCTCTGGGGTCCCCAACATAAGAAGGACACGGACCTGTTAAAGCGAGTCCAGAGGAGGGCCACAAAGATGATCAGAGCAACCTAGTGGAAGGTGTCCTTGCCCATGGCAGGGGGGTTGGAACTAGATGATCTTTAACGTCGCTTCCAACTCTAACCATAAGTAGTGGTTCTTATGCTCTTCACTGACTGTTTTAGTGGTTGATAGGAAAAAAACAACCGGCATGCTTTTGGCTAAGTCACAGTAGGTCAGGAAGTAGCCTGGAGTTATTGTGGACAAGCAGCAGGATGAGTCAGAAAATTGAGTGCTCTTGTAGAAATGGCAAATCCTGTCTCAGCATGTGCAAATTAGGGAAGGTGTCAGAAAAAGTAAATTATTTCTCCCCATGAAGTCTCAGTAATTGGTTCAGCTTGCAGCACTTCACTTTAGGAACAGCGTGGGTAAACTTGGAAGAGTCTCCAGTGAAACAAGAATAACATTAACTGGACATTAACTAGAAAATGACTGGATATGAAAAGTTGAAGGAAAGGGATCTACTTTGTGTAGAAAAGAGAACATATGTAAGCCTGTAAAACAGGCTGTCAATAAAGATCATAGCTTAACAGGCAGGAAAGAAATTTTGCTTAGCTATAGGATGTGTGGTAAAGCAGTGAAAGAGGAAATTATTAGACTTGTTCAAAAAAACCCCAAACACCCAGCTAAACATCTTTCAGGCTGGTCTGTGGTAGATTAGAGTGGGAGGGGAAGCTGTGTAGCAGCTAGGCTAGAGAACATCCCTTCCAGGCCAGCATTTCTGTATTTTGCAGATTTCCTTTTGCAGCATTATGCTGCTGTGGACCTCACAGAGAGAAGAATAAAATAGTGACATTGAGAAAAAGCAAGACAAACACAGAAGATGAAGGAGCAAGACATAGTGAGA